CATTTTAGCGAGACCATTCCTGATCGCCAACCATATTCATAGGTCCAGTCCCCGCCTCACATTTGGAACTCCTCATTCCCCTTCACTGCTTCACTGTCCTCTGTGGCACATACTACCTTTCGCCATATTATTTTTCATGTCTTATTTATTGTGCCGGCTCCCCCTAGAATGTAAGGTTGCTTAGGACAGGGATCTTGGCGTTTCCTCCCAGCCCCAGAATAGGGCCTAATAGATTGTGAATATTTAAATGAAAGGAGCCAGGCAGGGAAATGACAATTGGAGAGAGAAAGCCACTCACAGGTGCAAAGGAGACACTGAACTGCCTTTGCAAATGGGTGGTAAGAGTCTGAAAGCTTAATTACCAATGGCTAATGAGCTGCAGGGTAGGCTGTGTTTTACCTACCTGATTGTTAGCACTAAGCCATTATCTTTTTCATCTTTACATCCTTTCTTCTTAACACATCATAAGCTCTACAACTGAATGGCAACACTCACTCGACTAAAGAGGCAAGAACTTTGGGACGGTGTCACAATAAACAAAGCCGGACCTACGCTGAGAACTGGGGTTGACTCTTATAAAGGAGAAGGTGTTCTCTAAAATCAGTTTGTTTCAACACAAGTAAAACACCTCATTCGCTTCCAAAGACAATGGCGTTCCATCAGGTATTGGTGCCACAATCATCTTAAAATAGGCACCATTTTGCAGTTGTGGGGAAGGCCTCAAACCACACATGTCACCACTGATACCAGTTGTCACAAGGCATCAGCAGCTAGGGAGGAGGTGAGTAGGAAGCCTGCTTCCTGTTAGAGCAAAGCCACTTGAGAAGGAAGCCATGAGGCCAGGGCTTAACACAAATCACTCCCTATTGTGACCCCCAGGTTCAGCTACCTAAACCATTCAGTACAGCAGAACGGCAGTGATGGCAGAGTGCCATTGATTCACAGGGACTGTGAGCACGGTGCTGAGTGCTTTGAAGGCATATCATTGCATGAGAGAAATTTAGCTATAATTCTCTTTCCTCTTCCTATAATTAAGGTCAAAATGGTGGCTTTGACCGTCCGTGTTCTTAAATAATATTTTCACTTGGCCACAGTCATATTGCACAATGAATTGCCACAGGCCAGACTAATCCCTGCTGGTATCGACCAAGCAAGCTCCATATATACTCTTTATGTGTACCTGATGTAAGCACATCATCAAATATTTATAAGAACCACTGCATCAAGAGCAACATATTAGCTGTTCAGAAAATTCAGAGGAAAATAGGCAGTCATCTGCCCCCAAGAGGTTTACCGTCTAAGGGAGCCAAGGCACGGCAAACGGAAAATGTAGCTGTGTTGGATGGTCCCAATCTTTAGGAAGACGTTGAATAAATCTGCCTTGACCTGACCATGGTGACATTCATACAGGTCGCTATTCGGATTGAAATTCGATGACACCGTGTTGCAGAACAGAGCTGGGAGGCCCAAGTTTCAGTACCAGCTCTACCATTAAAGCACAAGGACAGTCATCTAGATTCCTCAGGCCTCACGTTCCTAATCTTGAAAGTGAGATTGTTTTCACCTCTTGGCCTCCACAAGTCCCAATCTGAAACCTCTCCGTTTCCATCTAAAACATGCATGATCTAAGAAGTCCTGACCTGGAGAGAGTTTAAAAAGGATCATTATTCTCCTCTTATCTCTCTTTCCCTCTCTCTCTCTCTCTCTCTACACACACACACACACACACACACACACACACACACACACACACATTTGTCTTCCTCTCTCTACAGTATTACCGGATTTATCCAAACCTGGCTTGAATCCCAGCACACCCAATTCTTCCTGTTTAGCCTCGTTAATATATTAAAACAAGCTACAAGTTCAGTGCATTCCCAAATGTGGCTTTTCTATTTCTCTTGCTTCACTTTCCTCATTTGTTGGTAATTTATTCAACTCCCTGTTCATTCAAGTGAGAAGGCAAAGAAAAGTGAAAGTCAAGATCCATCTTTTGCTTTATTTTCCTAGGATTCATATAGTGAATGTTTCTTATAAAACAGCATGTTGAGGTACAGCTCCGATCAAATAGTCTTGCCTGAAATAACGATACACAGTAAAACCTGATGACCAAGAGATTTTTAATCCTGTGACCCTACTCCAGCACAATATTTTTTTTAGTTCAAATAACAATAATAAATGGATTTTTTAACTATGCCCGGAGTGTAGTTTCAGGAGTTCCTGGTGGGAAGGAGGCTTGCTTTTCACTCAGTGCCCTTTTCCACTCTTTGCCATGTGCTTGTGTAAGTTTCATTATAATAAAAATTAAAAAGCGATACTGGCCAACATTTACTGTGCGTTTACTGTGTGCCAGGGCTTTTATATGCATTACCTCATTTAGTCCTCCTACCAGCTCGAACACATTTTAAGTTTCTCCATTTTATAGGTGAAGAAACAGGGGCTTAAAAACATATTCAAGGACGTGCATCTCTTGACCCAACTGATACTTTATGGGACGTTGAATAAAGTATCACTTTATGGGACGTTTATGGGAATAAAGTTATATGATACATATAAAATGCTGCGAGAAGTTCTATCACCATACAAAGGCAAGGCAGGAGTACCCTATCAATATAGGAACAAGTTTATTAGGTAGATGTTGGCCAGGCTTGCAACAGTAAGTCATGCTAAAACCCAGGCTCAGCTCCAGTCCTATAATCCCCAGGTTTACTAGTTCATTCTATAGCCTCCGTTTCTCAACCATCACGTGGAAGGATTTGATGGAGGCTGGAGGTGTTGAGTGTGGGGGAGATGTTGGCGATGGATGCATGGCCTGTGACCTTGTTTACCAAAACTGGCCTTCCCTGTTCCCGTCCATCAGGTCAGCACGGTGCTGTTTGTGGTCTCTTTCCTTCTCACACCTACAGAAATGAGTGTGGGCCTTTAGGGGAAACAAATGTATTGCAGAACATCCTTAAATTCCCAGGTGCACTGGCTGGGTGAGCTGAGCCAGCCCTCAGAATTTTGAGGTCTAGGAATCTCCAACTCAGCAAGGGCCTGGCTGTATGCAACAGATCATCTCTTTTCAAATACCTGCTATATGTGAATAAGCCTCAGAAGAGGGACAGCAATTATGGTAGCAACACACGCTTTCTGTGCCTTTCAGATTGTGTTTTCATTTTGTTCAGCTTTCACATTGAGCTGAGAAAAAAATTGGGGGGGGGGGCACATTTGTGTGTCCTGTGTATAGCTGACATGATTTCTAGTGGCAAGGCGTGATAATTCACATGCTAGCATAAACCTCAGAAGCAGTCTGTGTTTCATTGTGTTGTGTTCTCCCAATCCTGACATTAGTTTTAGCCATAAAATGAGTATAATCCTCGCTGGGAAGCTTCTATCTTGGGAACAGATTGGTTTCTCGGGATGTACTTTATTTCCAATCGCTGTTCCTTCCACAAACAGTTATTAAGGACTTGCTATGTGCTGGATATTTGAGGCTTTGGAGATGGTGCTAAGAACAAACAAAGCAGGCAGATCATCCATGCTTACAGTTTAGTCAGGGGAGGTGGCAATAACAATATAAACAAATAAATTATATAGTATGTTAGAAGGTGATGAGTCCTATGAGAAAATCAAGCTAGGAGTGCTGGGGGTGGGAATTGCAAGTTAAAGAGTTCTTAAGGAAGGCCGCACTGGGAAGGTGACATTTGTGCAAAGACTTGACAGAGATGAAGGAATGAGCCGTGTGGAGACCTGGGGGACAGCTATTCCAAGCTGAGGGAATGGTACATGCAAAGGCCCTGAGGCAAGTGTGTGCCAGACATGATGCGGAGGAGCAAGGACCCATGATTGGAGCAGAAAGAACAAGGACTGGAGTAGTCGCTGATGTGCTCAGAAAAGTGACAGGGGCCAGATCTTGAAGGGCTTTGACACCATTGTAATAACTTTGGCTTTTACTCTGTGAGATGAGGACCCATTCCAAGGTTGTTGTTATTGTTGTTTTATTTTTTATATTTTTAATAGTTTATTGTCAAGTTGATTTTTTTTTAATATTTATTTATTTTTGAGAGAGAGCAGAAGCTGGGGAGGTACAGAGGGAGACAGAGAGAGAGGGAGACAGAGGATCCGAAGCAGGCTCTGTGCCGACAACAGACAGCCTGATGCGGGGCTCGAACCCATGAACCTCAAGATCACGACCTGAGCCAGAGTCAGACGCTTAGCCAACTTAGCCACGCAGGCACCCCGCCACTCCAAGGTTTTAAACAGAGGAGTGATCACTATCTGATTTCAGTTTCTTACAGAAATAATGTTGATTGTGAGACAGGTTCCCAGAATGACCCACCAAAGCCAGTTGAACCCATATTGCCATTGAACTGAGGGTGCTAATCAGACTCCAGGAAGCTGAGCTCAGAGCACAGGATCCAGGGTGGGAATCTGATGCACAGCTCAGCTGGGTGACTTCTGTGCACATCAGTGAACAGCTCTGAGGGAGAACTTTTCCCCAACAAAAAAATAAGCAGTACCTGGCCCATGGCCTTATTTTGAGGACCCTCAAGTACCAGTGGAACACAGAAGCATTTTGTAGATGGTAAAACACCTTATGCCAGTCACGAGGGGTGGAGAGAGCAACAGTGGTGTCATTATTTTTTCCGGGGAAATTGAGTCCAGGACTAAAGTGAAATGCCCGGAATGCAACGTTCCCTTGCCCATTACTTATTAAGTAGCCCTAGGAATGGGTCCCCCTCCTCCTCCAGCTGGAGACTCAATTTCCCCAGAAAAAATAAGGTCAAGGGGAGGGCCAAGGACCCAGCTGACCTCAGTGGAAGGTGCCAGCTGGGCTCCCCGGTGAGCAGTGGTAACTCCCAGGGGTTTGTGGACTGAGGCTTCCGTGGCTGGTGGTGCAAGCATCCTGTCTCCCCTCACGCGGGTCCTGGGGGCCTCCGCTGCTCAGGCTGCCGGGGCCCCGCTAGCCCACATGGCAGCTGCTCCAAGTAATGGCAGCCCTCTCCTCCCTCCGCCAGGCATTCCTCCTACGGAAGGCTTTTGGACGATCACGACTACGGCTCCTGGGGAAACTACAACAACCCTCTGTACGACGACTCCTAACGAAGGAACGCGGCTGGGATGAAGAGACTGTTCTTTATTTATAAGTGCTTTCCCAGTAGAGTTAACACAAGTACCTGATGCGCATCGAGCGACAATCTTAAGCCCTTGTTTTGTTGGTTGGATTGTTTTGTTTTCCTGCCCCCTCCTCTGGCTGCTGTAACTTGCCCTTTCTGGTACAAAAAGAATCATTGTTGAAAGGTGAGTGGAGGCTTATTTGCCACTGAACTGGGCCAACCTGGAGCGGGAGCCGCGGGCCAGACCACCACGGTGGAGGCTCCTGTACCCACCACAGGAGCCACGGAGGAGGGACTGAGGCCAGGCATTGAGTTGGTTTGTGTGTGTGGGGGGGGGGGTTGGTTTACTGGGAGGGGAGGGACTTTTTGTTTGTGGTATTTCTTAAACTTTTAGTTAGGAAATTAAATCTCATGAAGAGGCAAGGAAATGAGTCCCGGGAGGATTTCACCCTGCAGGTGAGGAAGCAGGGACTGCTGGGGTTCCCTTTTAATCTCTGTTTTACCCAGGTGTATCTGACAGGTGCCTGCTCGGCTCTACAAGCTGGATCCCAGCTTCTTAACTGCCCAGTTAATGGAAGAGGAAACTAGAAGGTGCCCTGGAGGCGGCCAGCAAGCCGAGGGACCGAGGGGCCACGTTGGTGTCAGAGCTCAGCGTGCCCTCTACCTTGTTCTCTCCCCCCAGGCCACCCACGTCTGCTAAGGATGTTCTTTCTAGTCAGCTGTGGCTGGGCCCCCGGGCTCTCCACGGAGACAGCTGTGAGATGAGTTATCCAAGAGAAAGGGGGAGCATGTGTGCGTGAGTGGGCGAGCGGTGGGGCAGTAGGGCAGCCTGGGAGCAGACAGGCACTGAATGCCGCGTTAGGGAAACTCAGAATCTGCCCTCAGTAACTAACAGAGTCGCCCACTGCTGGAGGAGCCTCTGGAATCCTTGCTTCATACCCACAAAACAGCTGGCTCACTGCCTCCCTGTCTGTCGGCTAATGGCTCTAAACTTTTTTTTTTTTAAGTGTCAAGGCATTAGTCTACCTGCAGTTGTTCAGGGAGGCGATTCCATAGGAAGCAGACACCATGATTAATCCATGTGTTCCTCCCCTACACTTACCTCACTAATTCTGCCCTTTAGTTAATGAGCACTCTTGGGTATACGGTCTCAAAATCCTACCACTCGAATTTTGAAAAAGAATAGACCGTGTTTGCGGACATCCACTTACTGCAGTGGTTCTCAACTGGCAGACAATTTTGTTTCCCCCCGGAAACACTTAAAAATGTCTCGTGACATTTTTGAGTGTCACGACTTGGGGGTGTCCCCAGTAGGGAGAGGCCACGGAGGCGCTAAACATCCTTTGGTGCACAGGCTAGCCCACCACAACAAGGAATCCTCTGGCCCAAAACGTCAACAGTGCTGAGTTTGAGAAACCCTGATTTACTGAGATGCCCATTGTAACAAGACACTGTTAGCTAATGCCAGATTAGCATTACTTTCTTAGTTTTAACTAAATGAAATGGCTTGTTAAATTGTTATCTAAATGTATTTCGATTGTTGGCTGATGGGTTGGTGTGGCTGTCGGCGGGTGTCTGTGTGTTCTCCGGATGGCTTTATTTCGTGGCTAGAACTCTGTCCTCCCGTTCACACCTGACGTTAGCAAACTGCATCTCATGTCCCGATTGGAGTAGGAAGCTTCCGTGGATCAGGAAACACACACTGGGTCCTGTTTCAGAATGCGTTCTATTGTCCTGCAGTGTTTTCAGGAACTTGAAACAAACAGGATCCGTTTTTATTTCTTTTTTTTTTTTTTTTTTTTATTTCTAGGAGAGAGAGAGAGAGAGACAGCATGAGCAGGGGAAGGTCAGAGAGAGAGGGAGACACAGACCCCGAAATAGGCTCCAGGCTCTGAGCTGGCAGTCAGCACAGAGCCCGACGCGGGGCTCGAACCCACGAACCGCGAGATCATGACCTAAGCGAAAGTCGGACGCCCAACCGACTAAGCCACCCAGGCGCCCCGATCCGTTTTTATTTCTGAACTTGGACCTGCTGCCATGGCTCTGTTCGGTTTCCAGAAACCTGACCCTCAGCTCAGCCTGCCCCTCGCTGTGGCCCAGCAGGTACTGACACGAAAACCATTGTCGCCATGCTATTCAGAGATGCTAGGGGGGTGCCGCCTTCCTCAGCCTGCTGCCCCGCACCCCCAAGGAAATTATTCATGAGCTCCTTCCATGTCCGAGGAGAATGAGCAACCCCCAGAGGTATTTTGCAACAGAAATATGCAATGAGAAGTAGACTGCCAGGAATTCTGATATCGCTGATTTAAAAAACAACAACAAATGTGGACATTCTTCGCAAAATGGCCAGGGATGACCCAAGGTACCCCCTCTGGCCGTGATGGGCCTGAATAGTGGTCTCTCTTCCCTACCCTCATGCCCTTTATAAAGTCCTATAGGCACTCAGGGTAGCAAAGGACAATTCAGTAAAAACAGATACCCCTTTTATTTTCTCCCTCAGCCACAAACATTTTGACTAAATGTCCATGAAACACCTTTAAAGAGGTGCTTTTCTGGCTAAGGCTTCAGTCATAAATACTGGGTCAGAGGGACCAACCTCTTCCCAGGAAATGCTGACTGAGCACGGACTCAGTAAGCATCTGTCCTTACCAAAGTCTTCTGTTGTTCAAGAGCAATTGGTGGGTTTGTTTCTCCTGTTAACTTCCAAATCCTTACAGCAAAGAGAGATACCTGGACCTCAGGAAGATATATTTGGCAAGGTGACAGCTTCCCATAAAAACTCTTTAACACTCCGTGTTATGTCCGTATAAAATATCTATAGGTTGAACCTTATTTTGCCAAGTGCATTTTTTCTGAGTTGGCCAAAGAATTTGAACAACTGTATTCAACACAGGTTGCTTAACACACACACGCACACGCACATGCACACGCACACACACCTGAAATACATGCTGGTAATTGAGTCCTATATGTCAGAGAGAGTCCATTCAGATCTACCCAAGGGAAATAGTTCAGTGGATCTAAAGCAACACATTTCATACGACTAGTCAGTAAAGTGATAGAATGTCAGAGCAGGAGAGAGGCAAGCAGCCTCTTCTAGACCACAGACTGCAGATGATAAACAGTGGGATTCAACTTTGTTTCCTTTTCTCCCAGCCCCAGCGAAGTCTCCTGCCCTCCCTGGATGTCTGTCTTCATGTCTTAAATGAGGGTGACGCTTTCCTATTGACCTCGCCCCACACTACCTCACAAATGTGTTGTGAGGATTAATGAAACGATGTCTAGTGTTTTCAGTTTCTGGAGAAAAATATTTATAGACATTTTAAGTATTACGCAGACATATAAGTGATCTCAGTTTCAGTTTCTTGTTTGTTGTTATACTTGGTGTGTTGTTTTTACTTAAATCTATCAAGCGACAGCTGTATCGTAGCCACATCAGGCAGCCGTCCAAGCTCTGAGCTACCCCCAGTGCAGCTGACTGACTGCAGGGTTAGCTGTGCCCGGGACCAGAAGAATGGTTTCTGTCTCTAAATGAAAAGATGTCCCAGGGCATAGGTCTCCCGGACCACTGAGTCAGGATCCAGGAGGTTAGGGTAACGCAGTATGGATACCTAAGCACTAACAGCAGTAGACCTCTGGCCTTCACCATCCCGAAGTTCTTCTGGGTTTCTTTACGGAGTTGATTTTGGTTTGATTTCATCTTGCTTGCAAGGATGCATGGTTCAATCCCTCACCTATGGGATATGAATTTTGCAACTGGGCCATGTTGATTTGCACGTTGATTCACCTTCCTTGCCTTTAACCTCTTGTTGGCAAATGAATGTACCGTTTCAACTTTGATTCTAAAGTGCTAGTTGATACTGGTAATAGTGCTAACCAAAAGATCAATGCCAGCTTGCTTTCTTGGGGTGAGTTAGCCAACATCATTTAAAGATGGAAAGATGTACAACTTCTTTGATATTTGATGTCATTGTACCTACATTTGTTGTAAGACATATTGCATACTAATGATATCAATTAAAGTTGTTAAAAGCCTGCATCTGACAGTGGTGATTCACGTTTTGATATGTTTTATTTTTCAAGCCATCCAGTTCATATGCTCATATTAAGTAGCCTTGACTTGTTCTTAAAGAAAATTTATCCCACATCAATAAATAATATTTTCTGCGCCGCAGGAAGCTTTCTCTGATCTTGGAACAGAATTGAAGAGTGTCAGAAATGAAACTTTCTAAGGGGTGATTTTGCTCTCAACAATACACCACGTCTTATAAAACAGATGTAAAAATAAACACTTTAATTCAGTAAGTAGGCAGTGAGACAGAATCAAGTCCTATTAAGGCATATTTGACATTAGCAGTACATTTGATACTTGCTGGTTCTCCTTCAAAAAAATTAAGTCCTTCATACCCATCCTGACAGTTAATAGCAAGCAGTTCAATCATTCAGAATAGACTTATCAACCCTCAGAAGCTACCAAAGATTATTCCGATTCTGAAGAAAAGAGCAACAACAAAACGCATGCACTTGGCAATAGGAGAGGAAGGGAACCACCTGCAAGCTGGAGCAAGTTCATCTGATGATTTGAAACTTAAGGTCAGATTTAATGAGATCAGGTGCCTGGTTTCCAGTGGCACAACGTGGAGGACTGACTGGGAAGAGTCTAGAAGAAAAAAGAGAACCAAACATTAAACAGACCCTTTCCTGTAGATGATTCAGTCATTTTTTGAGGCCCTCTGTGGGCACAAGAGCAAGTAAGGAGTCCATGATCCCAAGCTTGCCTGAATAGAATTGGTCAGAAAGCACTTTGAATGTGCATGGAAAGAAAAGGCCTAATGGGGAGTGTTTACATATTATTAATTATTGGGTCCAAGTCAATATATTTTCTTATATTCTAGCTTTTCCAAGTCAGATCATAATATGTTTCAAGTGTTTAGTAACCTCTCTGTAATCTTTTACCCTCCCAAAATTAAGTAATACCTACTCATCCATAGCTGGTTATATTTTGATGTTTGTCAGAAAGCATGGAGTCATAAATGACCATGGAAAACCAATGATCAAATTGGGAAAATGCCTGTAAGAAGTATGATTGTCTCTCTCAAAGAATCATTTAATCCTTGACAAGTATAGAATGGACTCCATTTACAGCACTAAAGCAGCATTAATCCGTTGAAGGCAAGAAATGTATTGTGTTCCTATTTTAAGATACTGAATATTTACTATAAAGGAGAAGGAATGTAGTACCTGTGGGCCTTGTCTAATGTAATCCTTGCATCAACTTAGCATCCACTACACTCTCCACATCTTACAGATGTGGAAACTGAGGTTCTAGGATACTCAATGCACTCACGCTTGTGCTGCCTCCTTCCATGTACTCAGCGATGAATAAGATGGCCCCTGCTCACCAGATATTTACAGTTTAGTCAGTGGCAGAAGTGGAATTCAAACCAGGTCGGTCTGTCGCCAGAGCCATTGGTTATTTTCCACTCAAGGGACTGGTTTCTGATCTAAATATAAAACCCAGCTCCTAAGACTATCACACCTTCTACTAAAATTGGGCCCTTCCACCCACCCCTTGTGAAGTCCCCCCTCAGCTATTTTAGGTCTGGCACGTGGCCCAGAGCAAGCCCAGTCAGTTCCCAAGCACGTGCCCCCTGCCAGGCACTGTCACCTTTCATGCTGCCCTGCTGAGCTGTGTTCTCTGCCAAGGAAGAGAGGGCCTCCCCCTACCCCCTTCTGTTAGAGCACGAACACAGGCCCCACCATCTCCCAGAGTTTAGTGACAAACCGATGTGAGTCCACAGCAGCGTGGGCTAGAGAGTCTACCCTCGGAATGTCTCCCCCTCCTGCCCTCTTGTTCCATTGTCACTAGCTTGTCTTTCCTCGGTATCCCCGTAATAATAGCTTATTGTCACATAACACTTAACTATGAGCCCAGATACTGTCCCAAGTACTTTACATGGATTAACATCCCTAGGAGGTGGGTATTATTAATACAGTATCCCCATTGTACTGATGAGAAAACTAAGGGCCAAAGGGGTCGGAACTTGCCCAAGGCCACACAGCTAGCAAGTGGTGGAGCAGAATTCAGGTGCCAGCAGTCGGACCCCAGAGTCTCTGCGCCTGACCACTTCCACAGAGCCCTCACTCGGTGCCAGAGTTTCCTGCACATATCTCGGCCAGACATGCGGGTTTCAGTCCAGTGGGGCCAAGGCTGGGCACCCACCCCAGAAGCAAGGCCTCCCTGAAGGGAGGCTTCTAGAGTCGCCAGAGGGGTCCCTGCTGAGGGCACCTGGCCCCGGAGACTCTGTGCTGCCTCTGTCCAGATTCTGGTGCTTCCAGACAAGGTCACCCTCCTGACGACCTCCAGCCCAACAGCAGCGGACTCCAGGCTGACCCTTCTGTTCTCCCGCTAGCCGTGTCTGCCTTGGCACTTGGACAGAATTCACCGCAGCAAACACTGCTGGGCGAAGTGCTGAAAAGTCCAAGCCCGTCAGATGCCAGGGGCTGTCAGGTGGTGTGAGA